TTTCTCTTTGTTCTGTATATTGGATATCTTCATAACAATGTGTCTTGGCGTTGGTCTACTGTGATTTTGTATGCTCGGTGTCCTGTATGCATCTACAATTTGTATATCCGTTTCCTTTTTTATTTCTGGAAAGTTTTCTATAATTATTTCATTCAGCAGGTTGCTCATTCCCTTGGTTTGAACCTCTATACCTTCCTCTATCCGGATGACTCTTAAGTTTGTTTTTTTTATGTTATCCCATATCTCTTGGGTGTTTTTCTCGTGATTTTTTACCAGCCTTTCTGAGTTGGCTAGACTCTTTTCAAGATGATATATTTTGTCTTCATTATCTGATGTTCTGGCTTCTACTTGCTCCACTCTGTTAGTGATACTCTCATTTGAGTTTTTAATTTGGTTTATAGTTTCCTTCATTTCTAGAATTATTGTTTGATTTTTTTATAATCTCTATCTCCTGATAAAGATGCTTAATTTCTTCTTTTATCTGTTTATGTAATTCATTTTTAATGTGTTCTTTCACTGTTTGAATTTGCTGTCTCATATCCTCTTTAAGGTTCCATTCCATCTGTCTAAGGTATTCCTTGAGTTCTTTATTTGACCATTTTTCTGATGCCTCTAGGTCCTCCTGAATATTTAGGCTGTCCTGAATTGTTTGTACTCCTTTTCTTCCTTGCTTTTTCATGCTGCTCATGTTACTTCTTGTTCTGTTTGACTGTTGAGTTACTGTTTACTCCTATAAATTTATTTGATGCTTGTCAGGAAAGGTATTAGAAGGGAAGGGAAGAAGTCACTAAAGGGAATGAGAGTAAGCAGGTAGAATTCAAGGAAGGGGGAATAAGGAAATTGAAAAGAAATGAAAAGACAAGAAAAAAAATAGAAAATTGAAAAAAGAAAAAATAATAATAAAAAAATAAAAATTAAAATTAAAGAAATAATTAAAATAATTAAAAAATTTAAAAAACAACAAAAAAAATGGTTTTCTTTTTATGAGATAATCCTTACTTAAGATTTATTGTTATAGGGCAGTGCTTGATAGCCAGATTGATAAAGTACATTTCTTTCTTTCTGTCCATGTGAATGTTTTATAAATAGTAGAAATTCCATTTTATGTTAATTTAAATAATTTTCTTAAGTATTTGGAGCCCATAAGGCAACCCTGGAAAGTGTCATTCATATACATGGTGACACATTACCCAGCAGTGGTGGCTATACTAAAATCCACCACTTGACCACATCGGAAGTTTTCACATCTTGGAATGTCCTATATTTAGGCATAAGTAAATTGTTTTACGTGGTATGTGAGTAATGAGGTTTTTTGGTAAAAAAAAACTGCAGTTCTTAAGTGTGTTCATTACTGAAGGTTCATGGCTGAAGCAGTGTTAAGTGTCTTCAGTAAGCAAATTAGTAGAGTATCTATAGTAGAATTTGAAAAAGGATGAAGATTTAAAAGGATGCCTGGGGTGAAATAGAACTGCAGTCCCTTGTGAGACAGCAGGGAGGTGACCAGCAGTAGTTGCTTAGTTAGACATCTCTGCCTCTTAGACCAGGAGCAGTCAATACAGAACAGTGTGTACAAACAGCCGTTCTTCTGGAGCATAACCAGGGTGGATGCTGATGGTTTAGTAAGGGAGAGTACAAGCCCGTCTCAGTTCACTCACACACAGAAGGTGTGTTTTCAAACCCTAGTTTGTAATTTGGTTGTTATTGCCCTCATTTTCTTTTCTAGTGAGATATAGACTAGCCCAAAACTTTGTTCATGAGTGTAGAATTATTTTAGTATTAATAGCCATGAATTCTAGGTCTTCAAAGAACATGCTTTCCCCCTCTTAGGGGAAAAGGAAGGCAAATTTTAGGCATAATTTTGAAATATTTGAATTTGAACTCTGCCCTTTCAACTCCTTTTCACACATCTGTACAACCATTTCCTGTTCTTTGTGCATTCTGTGCACCCCATTCCTTCACCTCCCCCTCTTAGTCAAAATTATCTGAAGCTGTTTTAATTGAGTATTTATTGGTCTCTTCTCCAGTGGAAACCCAGTGTTGAAGGAAGGCAGTTGGTTGGGATCAATTCATGCTGAAGTGTGGATGACCCACAGCCCCACAGACATTTCAGAATTTTTTGTTGTTGTTCCTTAAAGAGGTGGTTTTGCTTTTTTCTTTTTTGGGTTTAGTTTTAATCTAGTTGATTCTTTGTTGATATTTCAGAGGACAGATGAAATGAATGTTTGACTTTGTGGCCAGAGTTATCTATCCTTTTCTATTGGATATGAATGGGCTGTGGTTGGAGAATACAGGGAAAGATGGTAGCCATTCCTCCCCAAGTCCCTAGTCCATCTGTAGAGGCCGGGACAGACTTTTGTATTTGAAAATACCCTCTGGAACTCGCAGGGTGCCTGCATCAAGTGTAACAGGAAGGGCTTTTTCTACACATCCCACTGTAGCAGAGTCAGCTGCCTATAGTGAAGGTGAGCAGAGTCCCACTCTGGACAGTGGCTTGTGTGTGTTGGTAAGCTTTGGCCTTCTTGCAGTGCAGAGGCCCTGTGGGACTCTCTTGGTCTGTTGTGGCTGGTAACTATGCCACCAAGGTGATGCATCTGTGGGGTACCAATCAGCAAACAGTGATTGATTCTAGGCCCAAGCATCCCTGTCTAAAGATGAAAGACCAAATTGGCAAAGAAAGGGTGCGTTGAAGGTGTCACTGTGCAAAGTACAAAAGGGCAGATGATGAATGGTGGTGTAATTCTATAAGTAGTACAGGTGGTCAGGGTCAGCTCACAGAGGAGGGAACAGGACAGGTGTCAGTGCTGCTGTGTTCTCTGTCATCATTGCACCTCACCTTTTCTCACCATGCCTTACACAGTCTACCTCATTCAAAATGTGTTTTCTGTTCTGTGATACATTGTTGCTTATTTTGATACAAAGTGGTGTGAATTCTTCATGAACAAAAGTGATGATTTTTAAAAGCTGTCCCACGTTTATCAAGTGACTCGATGTCTCCTTGTGCAGCTGTCTCTTACTCTAGACTGAGAAGTATGAGCACACTTACCCCATAGCAACCTTCTCAGCATGTTAGAGATGAGTACATTCCGACTCCAGAGGGAAGGAGCTTCAAGAGGTGTCACGGGAACTGAGTGGTGGTGTTAAGTTTCTCCCCTACTCTACTCATAAGCATTTTGTAATTCTGTAAAAGAGAAAAACTAGCAAGATAGGTAGAATGTTTATCTAAAACTTAAGAAAGATTTTTGCTTCTAAGTTACTGAGTTTCAAGGAAATATTTTTAAAGGCTCCTGATTTTTTTTTTTTTTTAAATCTTTTTCATTTCCTTGTATGTATGTGAAATTTAATTTCATCCTTAATGTTCAGGAAAGCTATATGCATATTTTAAAAGTTAGATGTTTGGCATGCTTGAAGAGGGTTTCTAAATTTAAAAAAGCAGGTCATAGTGGGCTGCTCCCCTTGAGAACTCTATCCATAGCCCTTTTACATGTATCTGTGCACACCTGACTGTGGAACACAGTGCCTTGGCCACAAGTGACTAGTCTGCTTCCTCATTACACAAAAATTCTAGTGTGGCCCCTGAACGTGTTCCTTAGCCACACTGTATGGTAAAAGCCAAGAACCCTGAGTTTGAAACTAGCAAAATCTCATTTTAAACACTGACCTCAAATTATTAATATAATATTGCATAAAAAGGGTTTTAGTTCTCTGTACCTATTTCCTTATTCTTAAAATGGGTAATAGTGCTTACTTTATGGACTTTTTATAAACCTTCTCCTGAATTGTCTGTGATGATTAGGATATAACATTATTGTGTAATGCCCAAAAGGTTTTATGTTGATCATTTACCTTGTAAATTTAATCAGCCTTGTTTGATAAGGATGTAGAAAGGGAGACATCCATCAAGTAAAATTTACTTGAAAATACTGAATAATTCCATAGTTTGCTTAGCCCTTTTGCTGAAGATCTGTACTCTCGAGTAGCATACTGCCTTCTTTCACGTGAGATTGGTTTTCATGAGAGAAAGGACACTGCTTAATTTGTGGCATTCCACTAATCTCTTCTGTTAATTTGGTAGTATAAAAAGATTTGCAAATAATGAGTTCCATACCCTCAAAGATACTTTCATACACTCTGTCCTGCTTCCACATTTGTACTGTTGCCATGTTCTAAGTAGGACTTTCTCCTGACTGTGTGTTAATAACTGGAAAATTCCCTATCAGTAGAATGGCACCATCTTGACAGCCCTGGGTTCTGCTTCTACCTTGCTAATTGTTTCCTTGGGATTATTTGGATTGTGTGGAAAAGCTTTTTGCAAATCCTCTTATTACTGAAGTCATTGTTGCCAGCAGGAATAAGATTAAAGGTGCTTAAGTCTGTAGAGTTGTTTCTAATTTGTACGTGTCATTTCAGTGGCATTTTAACAGAACTCTGTCTCCTGTCCCTCCCTTCTCCCTTGGTACTATCTCAAGTTAAGTCCAAGAAGCCAGACCATTGGAAGAAATCACATTTTATCCTCCTAATTATTATGCTGGCACTCAGGAGATAATTTTTCCCTTCATGCACTGCCAATTAATATGCAAATGAGCTGATAAATATTTATGCAATGATTTAAATTATGCAGGGAGTGCTTTCAGTGTATTCTGTAAATGAATTGTTCCTGGACTTCAAAGTGCTGGCTGCTGTGCTAACGAGGAGAGATTTGCATAAGGCCCTAATCACGCGCATACTGATTAAGCTTCATTATGGAAACTGCCAGCTGCAATCTTTGTTTCTATTTTATTACAAAAAGGGGAACTTTTCATGCTTCAGTTGCCTTGACAATGTCAGTCCTAGCTGGTAGGAGAGACTAAAACTCCTCTGAGCAACTGAAGTTTCCTTATTCAGCTGAAGATTGCTATGGTGTAACTGAAGTTGTATTTTGCTTCTCCTGTTAATCCACTTTCCACTCCCCACCCTGTTCTCTGAAGAACATGGTGCAGATTTGTTAGAAATAGTGCTACCTTCTTTCCCCCACCCCAGACCGCTACCTGTTTCTTGCTTGCTTTGGATTGTCCACACCTCTAGAAGACTTCACAGCGATGCTGGACTGCAGTGACTGTGTTCTAGGTGGGTACCAGCACAGTTCTTTCTTAGAAGCTTTAATATGGAAATAGCATGTGAGGGGTTGACTATGCTTAAATGCTTAATCACATGCAGCCAAGGCAAGGGAGGGGGAGAGGTGGTTGAGTGAGGAAGAAGGAAAGCATTTGCAAAGCACTATGTGTGCTTGAGTGAGCTGTGGTCCCTCCCTATGCGGGCTCTTCTGGTTCCGAGCGTACTTTGAATAGTGTGGATTGAGAATTTGACCTCAATGGAGGACATTTTTTACTTTTGTGGGACTTCTGTGGAAAGCATTTAATACAAATTCTAAAAAAAACATTTTTAAATCAGAAACAAGGTTTGAACTGTACCTAAATAATATAAAATGTACATATTAATAAAATTTTTGCAAACCTAGTATCTCAGTGAAAAATGAAGTGGAGCCATCACCCAGAATTGTTTCCGTACATACTATTGCAACATTGTAGTGTTGACTGCAGTTTATGTATTGACCCATTTCCAGATTTTAGACATTATGAACTTTTAAAATTCCAAGATTATGCCTTATTTTTGTGTTGAAACCAACTATCTTTTGTAGAAAACTATGGTTTTAAGTATTGGAAAGCTTATCTTAAAAAGAGTTTTCCCTATAGACAAGCAAGCCTTTAGAGAGGGAGGTATCCTACTTTAATTTTAATGTATACACCGCCTTTGGTTGACTGAGATTTAAAATAGATAGAGGCATTCTGGTATTGAGGCAGATGGTGGCTCCTGGTGGCCACATTTTGTGTGGAGTTTTGTTTATTTCTCTATAGTGTTAATGAAACCTTTTTAGGTTACTGTAGTCACCAGAAAAGTCAGGGGATAGAAACTCCGGGAGTTGGATACATTAAGTCTAAAACTTCTGCTGATGATTTTTCTTTTCCTGTGTGTCATTTTTCCTACTTGAAAATTGAGGCTACTTCGGTCACCTTCCCAGTTGCCAAGGGAAAATAAATTGATCATTCTGAAGATGGATGAATTCTTATGCAGAAGGCATGGCCTGAACCCAAGGTAGTAGATACATGGTTCCCCACAATAAAAATCCCCATCTAAAGGGCACGTGATGAGCAGTACATGGATGTCAGGAATTCAGGAGCAGCCTGTAGACTTCGTGTTGGTCTCACTGTGTCAGCTCAGGGGCATAGACATGTATTTTTTATACTGGCCAGAGAGAAGATGATTTCAGATGTCAAAGAAGAATTTACTTGTTTTTACTCTTTTACATTTACTAAGTTGAAAACTCAAGAAACAAAAGGAAAATACCTTTTTGAGATATTTTTAACATTTATTGTTGAATTAGAAATTATGTCTACTACTTTCAACTAACAGTCAATATCATTGAAATAGTCTTATCATTGTTGTTGCATAATCAGAATTTTATTGTTTTATTCTCTTTGGTATGTTTGAAGTAGTTTCAGTAAATGCCCTTGAAACTCTTTGACAATTCAGTGATTGGTCCTTAGGAGATTCACATAAAATACCTGTGACATAATTTTTAACTTATAAATGTGGAAATAAGGACGTGAATTACGCAGGGTCAGTCTCGTGAGTTGTTAACGATTTGTGCTTGCTTTGTTTCTATGACGTCCCTATATGTGGGAAATCGTTACCCTTTTTATCAATGTTAACTTATTTATTATTTTTTCTACTTTCCTTTAAAATACATTCTAAGAGAAGCATTAAACCATTTGCATTCCTAATGGCATTTCTGTTAAACTTGTGATCTTTGTTAACTTTCATAAGAGTTTGGGTAAGTCATTCAGAAAGCTGTTTTTCACTAAGTCACACACCTGTTTCTTTCAAACCTTAGTACGCTTTCAGATGATATTTAAAATTTTCTGGACAGTGGGGAAAGGAAGTTGTAGAACTGTCCTCATTTATGACCACAGACACAAACTTTATGCCTTTGAATATCTATAGAACAAACCAAGGATACACTATATCGTCTAAGCCCAAAAGACAAACATGAGGCACAAAAGCTTACAGTTTGAACAGTTTGAGAGGCTGTTACATAGCCTGTAGATTGGATATGAAATTTTATCAAAAAAGGGCTTTTGATTTTTTTTCCTTAGCACTTTGTGCATGTGGATGCTGCAGCTTAATGGACACATGGTCAGGACTTCAAATCAATGCTGTCATTCCTAGTTGAAGTGTTTATTCTTCTCTAATAACTACAGTTAAATAGTTGAAAAAGTAGAACTTTTTTGTTAATAAACTTCTTTGATTGTAAGTATTCCAAGTTTTAGTTTGCAGTAGATATAGAACAAGATGTTTACTTTTTTTTCTTCTTTAAACCCTTTTAAAGAGGTAGAATAGCAGTGTTGTTCTTGACTCCTCTCCTGCATGTTTTCTAGGACACTATTTTATACAGCTTGGTGGAAACGAACTTGTTTACATAGATAGCACTGAAAGAAGTAAACTCAAATTAGCAGGTTCATTTGAGATGTCCGGGTGATAAGATTCTAAGTGGGCATGGTTACGATTCAGTCTTGAAGTCTAATTTAGAGATTTCTGTTGTGTCTGCTGGTATAACTTTTGTACTGGTTTTTGCTTGAGGTATATATTTGACATATTATTATTTTGACTTAGATTAGTTTGGTTGAGGAAGGGAAGAGTATATTTTTCTTAGACATTTTCTTTTGAGTTACTATCCCATCTATTATCCATATTAAAATTCTTTAGAAAGATAATTAATTTGTGGATGCCATCAGGATCCCAGGGATCCTGAATTTCTTTCAGGTTCCTTCTATTACAGTTTGTAATGTTTAGCTTGATATGTCCCTGAACTAACTGTATGAATGTGACATTAGTTAACCCTTTTCCTTTTTCTTTTCTTTTTGTGGGGGAGGGGTGCCTTCTTAGCCCATCTTTACCCCGAATTAAAAATCGTATTCCCCTCTGCTTTATTACAGACTCAAGAATGAACAATCCGTCAGAAACCAGTAAACCGTCGATGGAGAGTGGAGATGACGCTACAGGTAAGAAGTAGTCTCTGATCTAGCTTTTTAATTAGATGAGATAGAGCTGATAGAAGAAACTTGCCACTTCACTTGGACATATATTTGGCTTGTACAGAACAGTTTGCACATTGAGTTGTCAAATATGATTTAGTAGTTGCACCAAGCGCAGTTGTTTATTTAATATTATCTAACTTTCTTCTGCAGATTGCTTTATCTTTCTGCTTCCATCTATCAGAAACTACAGAATCGTTATGGGAATAGTTGTTTGGGTCAGATAGTTCAGGGTATGAATTATGGATTTACCACTTAATGACTGTGTGACTTTAGGCAATTTCCCCAATCGTTTTGAGACTGAATTTATTCAATTATTCAATAGGAATGTTTCATAGGTCATTAGGAGTATTAGATGAGAGAATATACGTGAAGTGTGAAGCATAGTGCCAGCTGCACCGTGATCGTGCTGTTCAGAGTGTCGCTTGTTATAGACGTTGATCAGAATAGTAAATCTCATCCACCCCATATTGGTTATAAGTTATGTTAAAAAGTCCATATTTTGTTAAGTAGTTATAAACACACTCGTTTCTAATACATTCTCTTATTTCATTTTCTAAAATTTACACACGATTAAACCTTTGATCAAGAAAAAATTAATTATCATTATCATATAAATGAGAAAACTCAAGCCCCATGAGAGAAAGGTGAATCCATTAAAAGAATGTTGGTCTCCGCAGCCCATACTCTTGTTAAGTCAGTATATTGCTCAAGGGACATTTGGCTCTGTATCTTTATCATCTGCTGGAGATGCGCAGAGACTCCCATTTCTAGAAGAGCTTGGATTTCAAGTATTAGGCTGCATGGAGAAGAGCACCATGGGTAGGATGCACAGGAGGTGGCATTTCTAGAGTAGACAGGTTTCCACCTGCAGACAGTACTCCCTCTTTGGCTGTTTTTTAAAAAAATGTGCCTGACTCTGGGAGATGGCAAGAATGAGGCATCCTCGAAACCGTTTTCTACCTCTATTGGCCACAAAACTTTTTAATTGGTGGTAGATGGGTGGCTTGAACCAATGTTCCTGCCTGTGTGGTTTCTCCTATAGGCTATCCTATACCTGGAGACACCTATTAACCTTGTCATCTCTAAAATGTTTCTACCTCTTTGTGTGAACTGAGCTATAAGGTTAACATGTGCAACTGGGTTACATTAAAGGTGTCTCCTGTCACTCTGACTGAATAAATAGTGCGGTAGACTGCTTTAGGTTCCTGAGAAGGGGTGTGGGGGGTACCATTGAATTCTGCCTGAATCGTCAGCCACAGTCTCCTTCCTTTTATTCCTCTAACCCTGTTTTTGCCCCATCTTCCTGTGTGTGTGTGGGGGGGGGGCATTGGTGCCTGTGCCAGTGTGGGTGCTTTGGCCACAGCCAAAGGTACATACCTTTGCAGAGAGAAAAAATGCTGTTGATCACACTGGGAGGTCAGAGGAGAGTGGGTGGGACACACTTGGCTAAAGAATAGCTTCAAAGACAAGACTCAGTTTTTCTGTCAAGGGAATAGAAACAGACAGACTGACAGAAGGATTGGAGAATACTTAAAATATTCACTATATTGGCCTCATTAGAATGCCCATGTTTGTCATGCTCTTCCTCCCTACTCTATTTTGAGTCACCCCTCTTATATCAGAGAAGACATTGGGCATTTGGTTTTTAGGGATTGGCTAAATGTATGATATGTCAAGATCATTGTATTGTCATGAACAACTAATTAAAAAAAAAAAGAATCCCCATATTTGCCTTAACATCACAGTTTCAGTGCCTGCTGTGTCTTATTGAGCAGCTACAAACTATAATAAAACCCGGTGGCTTGTTTTAGAAAATCCTAAGCACTATACACATTCCTTGTTAGAGTCTGTAAACAAGTCAAAATAACACCTGGCATTTTGCCAGGGGAATGTTATCGTAAACAAGTCTGGATAGTGCCTGGCAAAATGCCAGAGGGAGTGGTTTGAGAAGTAACAAAAACAAGCCATTAAGTGTGGAGATTCCTTATTGGTTGACTGATGTATCTAGTTTATGCTAATTAGATAAGCTGTGTGGAATGTATAAATACTGCTCCTGTCCTGCAATAAACGGCTCCTACTCCTGCTGTATCAATGTACACAAGTTATTCGTCACCCCCCGGTTATTTTGCTGCAGCTGGACTGCGGCAATTCCTGATAGCAGTTCTTATGACAAGTTATATGTTATTTCAGGGACTAGGAAATTGAGACACCAAAGCAACTAGGAAATAGAGTATTTGTACCCTGAATATGATTTTCCCCCATGAAGTGTAATAAATAAAAATGAAAATTTAAGCCATACTTTGTATTCGTTCAGTCCTAAACCATTTCCACAGCTCTGAGATAACTCCTGGCTGCAGCACTCCTTGAAACAGTCTTGTGAATTTCTTGCCTGTTATCATATTCGGTGCTTGACAGACTTGTTCTCATTATGGACCTGAGCATTATCAGTTTAGATAAGGGGGAGCTAAGAGCTGGCACTTATTCATATAAGTCTTTATTCCCAACACCACTAGTGGAACTTGATTTCCTCCTTACAAAGACAGTACATTATTATTGTTTTTGTTTTTGTTTTTTTTTTAAAGAGCTTTTGCTAATGCAGTAACAGGTAGCTGGATCAAATGTGACATGATCAGCCATCAACTCTGAACTAGAGTAGCTTACTTCCCATTTGTCTACTGAGGCATTTGCTGCTTTACTAGAGTTATAAATTACTTCCACTTTATGGGTCTTTACATTCACTTGAGAGCAACAGAAGTCTTAATTATCTGTTTCTCTAATGTTTAAGTTCCATTGCCATATTGAAATCTGATGTTTTCTGGATTCAGAATACTTTTGTGTTGATCATCTTTTCTCGAATGTTTATAATTATTATGATATTGACTTGTGAGATTTTAAGGAGAATGATCTTAAAAATTATTTAAGATTATGTTGATATTATGCGTGTTTGTCTTTCTCTATGATTTATTTTAAAAAGCAAATCTAACAGTGCATTTTAGTCAGATGACCCTATGTGTTCACAGAAAATCTGTAGTTTAGACTTGTTCAGGTTTGTGTCGTCTTCTGTATGTACCATATCATAGTTGGTGTTATTAGGTCCAGTGCAAAAAGACCAGCCTCTTTCAGTCTTCAAGGGGTTAGCAGCCCACTGATTCTGGGTAGGTGGTGGTAAGTAGTTCAAGAGCAGATATGGAGGGGTGCAATGTGTTGGTCAGTGGGAGTTTGAGTATGTTGGTGGAAGGAACCATCATGGGTAAAGAGAGGGAAGAAACCTAACTGACAGATAAAGGCTGTGATAAAGGAAGTGCAGAATGAGGATAAATTTTGAGAATGAAAAAATGTGCACCCTGGGCTGGGGTTGTAGCTCAGTTGTGGAGCACTCACCTAGCACGTTCAATCCTCAGCACCTCATAAAAATAAATAAATAAAAGGTTTTGTGTCCATCTACAACTTAAAAAATTTTTTTTTCAAAAAAATGTGCACCCTTTTTCTACAGTAGGGAAGAATGGAAGACTTGTTTTTGTCTCCAGTGCCCAGTCTGCCCTGGTGTACTTAGTGGGAGTACTAAACCTTGAATAAGATAGTGATTTTGTTCTCAAGAAATTAATGTTGTAGATGTTTGAGAATACAGCAGAAATTGAGAAGTTTCATAAAAGGTGTATGAGAATCCACTGTAGGGAGAAACTGTTCCTGACTTGGAGGACCAGGGAAGGGTTTGAAGATGGTAGAGCCTCCAGTGTGCCTTGAGGGTAGCATTTAAATGAGATGGTGATGGGCAGGATTTGATCCTTCGAAGCAGCAGGAGTCCAGTTAGGGAGGGAGAGCTGCCAGCTGGGTCCTGAGGTCTCCCATTCCTTCAGGGTGCTGCTGTTGTGCCTTGATGCCCAGACACATCCTCGGTCAGCCATCCTCAGAACCAGTGACCATTCCAGGTCCTCCCACTGCAGTGCAGCCACTGCTCTTTCCTCTAGCTCATTGTTTTTGTAAATTTACCTTGGCTTTTTAGACTTAGTTTTGATAATGAAGGAAGGTGAAAAGGACCTGTTTTTAAATATCAAGTTTTATGTAATTTTTTTCTGATAACATTGGTTCTGAAATATGAAAACTTATTTTCTTGTAAAGCAGTGTACCTGTTAAGTCACTGACTTTCTAGTCGGCTAACTGTACCTCTCTTCCCACCTGGATTATGATAGGTATAAGACTTCCATATCCTGTCCTGTTTTACTTCATTTTCTATCCAGAGGTCTTCCCTCCCCCACCCCCGATCTAGAGACAATGGTTAGATTTTTTGGGCAAATGAAAAGGCCAAAGAAATTTATTAATGTAAACTAATGTGCATTTATGAAGTAGTATTACACAAATATCATTCACGAGAAGTTCTTAGTAATCAGTGATGTTTGTCTTGTGGAATTTACTAATACCATGGCTGATGTTAGGAAATTATATTCATAAAGAGAATGATCAGAGGTCATTTTCTCCAGAATGAGGAGAAAGGATCCCGAAGACCAGGGTTCCAGTAAATAAACTAGTATTCTTCTTAATGATTTGATGCCTTGAACTGGCACTTTGGAAACATTTCCAAAAATGTGCCTGAAAATACAAGCGTTTTCAGGAGTAACATCTGAAAATCACTAGAGAACAGGCCTCAGGTAAAAATCTCATCAAACCAGAGTAGAGCAATGGCAGCCTTCAGATTCTGAAGGACTAGCTTCCCTTTAAACTTACATTTACTTAGAGGCCATTTCTTTTATTATCATCATAATCTTAATGTTTATACATAATTTACTGTGGCTTTCATTCTGCACTGAGTAAGATGCTCCTATAAGCCTGAGGGTAGAAATCCCAATACAAAATTTTTTGGAGTCCTTCACAGGGACGTTTTAAATAATGGGTAATTCCAGGGGCCACCGACAGTAGCTGACCACTCCCAGAGGACCTCAAGAGCACAGTGAAGGGTCTGTTCGTCA